AGAGAGTTAAATTTACTCTTTGCTTTTTTTCTCTCACAGCCAACTTATAATCATCTCTAACAGGATATTTACATCTAATATCAAACCACCCAGTAAAACAATATGCATAATATGCAAAAATACTAGTATAGAATTATAAAATAAAGTATGAAAGTAAAGGTGTATTTATGATTAAAATCCCACCCAGAGCCCAGCTGGCGTGTCTCAGTGGTTCATCATCAACCTATGAATCAAAAGGTTCCTGGTCAGGGCACAGGCCTGGGTCCCTGGCTCGAGCCCCAGTGTGGGGCATGCAGGAAGCAACCAATCAAGTATTCTCTCTCATCATTGATGTTTCTATCTCTCTCTCCCTCTCCCTTCCTCTCTGAAATCAATAAAAATAGGTATTTTTAAAAAATCCTACACAGAATATGGAACACATATTCTCACCTACTAAGTTATTATAAAAGGGCAGGAGGAAATCAGGTTCTGTTTTTGCAACTGCCTCAGCAAGAGAATACAATTCTTAGCTATCTGTTCAACTCAGTATAGCCACATGGTTGGGCAGTAAAAACTCTGAGTGACCATGTAGTGCCAAAGATCATATCTTTTCTTAAATTCATTTGGTAGTTGCTTCTGTGTGTTAAGGGGAAATTGTGGACCTTTCATATACATTTCCAGGAATGAGAATTGCCTCCTTTAAAAGCACTCCTGTTGGCTTCATATCAGGGGTGAGGAATGTCTGGCCCATATAAGGCTGGAGAAATCATTTGGTCTGGCCTTCCAAGGCATTAGGGGTGAGTTAATTAAATGTTTCACCAAATATAGCAGGCTAATTTTTAAGTTGATAATTTTGTATGACTGGCAAATGATATTATAAATATCCAAATGGCCCTTGCAGAAAAAAGGTTCCCCACCTATGATGATGGATCATAGATCATATGGATCATGTAATGTTACATGTTTGTTTTTGTTATTTTCAATTGATCACAGCATTAAAACACTCCTGGAATTTATTTCTGAGAAGGAGAAGGAAGCAGAGAAGGACAAGGGGGAGGATGAGAAGAAACCAAATCTTCTGTAGAAACAAAGTGAAATCTAAAATGCCATATAAACAGACTGTGAATCCAACTTGTATGCATATTTGCATAAACCATGGACACAGACAGCCGAGTGGTGAAGGCCTAGGGCAGGGGCAGGGGTAGGGGTGGGCTTGAAGGGGTCCATGGGGTATAAAGGGGAACATATATAGTACTTCCAACAATAAAGATTTTTTAAAAAATAAAATGCCATGTAAGCTTTTAAAAATAACTTACCGACATCTGCTATCTCTTGGTTCAGTGTGGAGGGGAAATTGGTTGGAGGATTCAGTGCTAAAGAATCATCTGGATCATAATAAGAAAATAGGGTTGCAGAGGATGTTGGCAACGAAGAACAAGGTAACACAGTTCTAGCTTGTTCCTCAGGTAAATCGAGAGACATCTTAGAGCCAGCACTTCTTGGAGACAATGGAAAATAAGGACTATCCACTAAAGACATGCGAGAATGTGCATTAAAAGCCCTAGCGTCATGCTGCTTTGTACTGGAGGCATGGCACACTTGGTGCTTTGAGTCACGTGACAGCGAATAATTCAGTTCTGCTGAAGAAACGTGCATCGCTTTTTGAGCCTGCTCAAGACAAGAACTGTTCGGTTGAGATGCCAAACAAGAACACTTTTCCTTCACGCCCAGCTCATTGGTGTCTCTCTGTTGTATCAGTTCAAAGGGAGTTGACTTGGTCCGCGTTATTGGCCCCTTTGTGTTGAAATATCTTCCTGCTGCATTCACAGGTTTAGAATCAGGACCTGCTCCAAGCAGAACAGAGCTCAAGTCCAAACTTTGATACTTCTGAAGAGGCTCCCCAACTATTGGAAATGTCTTTGTCTCCCATTTCATGGTTGTGCCAGCATTTTTGTTACAACCATAATTTAGTTCCAAAAACTCAAAAGAACTATTCTGTTTAGCAGGGTGCAAAGCCAACCCTCCCTTTTCACTTATTTCAGAAGTCCTCGGCTCAAAGGAAGGAGCTTCTGCATTTTTCACCTGAATCCTTTGTTTGCTCTGTCGGTTCATCACTTTTGCTTCTTTCATGCTGCCAAAACCAAGAGGAAGTAATAATGATATCATAACCCCGGAAGGCTTCTTCCATAGCTTTTCCCAGCATCACAATGAGTGATAAGCATGAGATATGCCCCCGAGACACAATTAGACAGCATGTAGATGTGTAAAATTATACTCACCTTTTTGGTAAATCAGGAGAATAAGCGTTTGCTTCCAGACCGGGATTTTGCTCAGGAACTGGATACTTTGCTTGAATCTTTAAGAAAAATAAGGGATTGCTTTTTAAGTGAAGCAATGAAAGTGTGATATTTTATATTCATAAGGCTGAAAGGTTATTTTTCAGAAAATATAAAGACAAAATAATTCATAAAAGAGTTAGATGAATTTCCAAAATATTGAACCCATCAAGAGCATGTTCACAAACTGAGAGCATTTTCACAAACTGAGACCAAAAGGATGAGAATAAAGAATTGTCAGTGTTATAGAAATTAGAAAGGATTTACTTACAGTAATCACCTTTTAAAATGGGGGCGTCTTAAAATGTTCTTGGGAGTAGCTTTATTCCTAAGAACACTCTACCTTCAGAAGTCTCAGCATCTTAACTCTGAATGTTAATAGGTGTTTATTAGGTCCCCATACCTACCTCATATTGTTCTACCTTTTCTTCCTTACAATGCTCCAGACACATTTGGTTTTTGCCATTGCTTAAGCATAGTAAACGTGTTTCCAATTCAAGGCCTTTACACTTTCTGTTCCCTCTGGTTGAAATACACTTGCTCCAGATTTTGCATGGCTGGCTCTTTCTAAGTAATTATTTTCTACTTAAATGTCAGCTGCATAAGGAAACCTTCCCTGACCACGCAACCTACAATCACACTCCCACACACTTGCCCAGCCACTCTCAACCTATATTTTCTTCATAGCAATTATCATATTATGAATTTTGTTACTGAGGCTCATGGAACCCAAGATACCATTGAGTGAAAACTATATCTTGATTTCTGAGATGTTTAAATGTAAAAAAAAAAAAAAAGTCATCAGCAATTGTAAGATTCCACCTGTTATGGGTTTGATTGTGACTTTCAAAAAGATATGTTAAAATTTAACATACCCCTGATATTAACTGACCTTATTTGGAAGTAGGGCCTTTGCAGATATAATTAGTTAAGATGAGGTCATGCTGGGTTAGGGTGGCCCTAACACAATGACTTGTGCCCTTATAAGAAAACAGACTCTCAGAGACACTTAAGGGGAACACCATGTAATGATGGAGACAGAAACTGGAGTAATGTATCTGCAAGCCAACGAACACCAAGAATTGCTGGCAAATGCCAGGAACTAGGAAGAGGCAAGGAAGATTTATTTCCCTAGAGCTCTGAGAGAGAGAGAGCACGGCTCTTGCTGACACCTTGATTTTGAACTTCCTGCCTCCAGAACTGAGAAAATAGACTTGTTGTTTGAGCCCTCCTCCGTCTGTGGTACATGTTACAGCAGGCCTAGTAAACTGAGTCAGAGACTTTACTACTCCACTTCCAATAATGGATAGAACAATGAAACAGAAGATCAATAAGGAAATACAGGGCAGACATGAGCAACGCCATAAACCAATTAGGCCTAATAGACACACATACAATACTCCACCCAACAACATGCACATTCTTCTCAAACATATGTGGAACTTTCTCCAGGATAGACCATATGTTAAGCCACAAAACAAGTCTTACTAAATTTTAAAAGTATCTTTTTAAATCATAGTGAATTGAAGCTAGAAACCAACAACAGAAGAAAAAAAACAACTTAAACATGTGCAAATATGTTGTAAATTAAGCACTCAAACAACAATAATCACACAAAAAGATGCTTAACATCACTAATCATTTGGAAAATGCAAATCAAAACTATGAGATACCACTTCACACTTATTAGGATGGCTATTATCTAAAAAACAAAACAAAACAAAAAAACCCAGAAAATACTAAGTGTTGGCCAAATTGGAACCCTTGTGCATTTCTAATGGGGATGTAAAATTTTGCAGTCACAGTGAAAAACAATATGACAGGACCTTAAAAAATTAAACAAAATTACAATATAATCCAATAATTCCACTTAATGGTATACACCCAAAAATTTAAAGTAGGGTCTTGAACAAATATTTTTTACATCAATTTTATAATAGCTAAAAGTTGGAGACAATCAAGTGTCCATTGAAACAAAATCGGTATGCACACACAATGGAATATTATACAGCCATAAAAAATAAACCTCTGATACATGTTGCAAAATGAATGAACCTTGAAAACATGCTGCATGAAATAAGTCAGATAAAAAAGAATAAGTATGTGACTCCACCTATACAATGTATCTAGAATAGGCAAATTCATAGAGACAAAAAGAAGTTACTAGGTATTGGGGCAGGGGGGTATTGATTTGGATGATGAAAATTTTTTAGAAATAAACAGTGATTGTCATACACATTGTAAGAGTACTTAATGCCACCACATTATACACTTTAAAATGGTAAAATATGAATGAGGAAGTGTCTCCTTCTCTTCTGCTTTCTGGTACAGATTGTATAAAATTGGTGTTAATTATTCATCAAACATTCGGTAGAATTCTCAAGTGAAACTATGTGGACCAGAAAATTTCTTTTGGGGGAGTTTTCAAATGACAAATTCAGTTTCCTTAATCATTATGGGGCTATTCAAATATCTATTTCATATTGAGTGAGTTGTGGTAGTCTGTGTTTTTCAAGGAAATAACCCATTTTGTCTAAGGGGTGAAATTTATATGTGTTGAGCTGCTTATACTACATTCCTTCATTAATTACCCTTCTGATATCTGCAGAGCCTGTAGCAATATCCCCTGTTTCATTCCTAATATTGGTAATTTTCATCTCTGCCCGTTTTTTCTTTCTCTTTTTTTAGGGGAGAGTGAGAACACAGTTCCCCACTACAACAAATTACGCTGTTGAGTTTCCCACATTTGGGGAAATTGCAAGAGTCCGCACATCCGGAGTGCAATGGATAAGCCCCGCCCTGGGAAAACCACCTTCATGATCATGGTATCTCCCCTGCCACATATGTATGCCCCTTCCCCCCCTTTATTAGTATTCCTCGAGGTTTGTAAACTTTATTGATCTTTTCAAGGGACCAGCTCTTTGGTACACTGATTTTTATCTATTGTCATTGATTTTTTTTTTTTTTTTTGCTCTTTTTGTTTTCTAGATTCTCAGAGTGGAAGCTCAGATTACTGATTTGAGACTTTTACTGTTTTCTAATGTATGCATTTAGAGTGCTATAAACTTCCCTGTCAGCACTGTTATAGCTCTGGCCCACAAATTTTGACGTGTATTTTCATTTTTATTCAGTTCAATTCATTAAAAAAGATCTTTCTTGATACTTCCTCTTTGACTCAATGGATTATTGAGAAGAATGTGGCTAATTTCCAATTTTTTGGATCTTTTCCTGTTATCTTCCTGTTATTGGCTTCTAGTTTAATTGTGGTCAGAGAATACATTTTTCATAGTTTCAATTCTTTTAAATTTTTCAGATTGTTGAATGGCCCATGGTATGATTCATCTTGCTATACGTTCCATCAGCACTTGAAAAGAATGTGTATTCATGTGTTATTGGGTGGAGTGTTCTAAAAATATCTATTTGATCTGGTTAGTTGATGGTATTGTTGAGTTCTTGCTGATTTTCTGTCAAGTGTTTCTACCAATTGTTGAGAAAGGGATATTGGAGGTCTCCAACTATAACGGTGGATTTGTCTATTTCTCCTTTCACTTCTATCAGTTTTTGTTTCACATATTTTACATCTCTGTTTGGTCCATATGCACTTAGGATTGCTATGTCTTATTGGTGAATTAACCCTTTTAGTGTTATAAAATGTCCCTCCCTGTCTGTGATAATTTTCTTTGCTCTATTTTATCTGATATTAATACAGGGTACGGCAAAAGTAGGTTTACAGCTGTGAGTGTGTGAAACACAGAGTTTGTTCTTGTACCATTATTTATTAATTATTGTATTATTTTCCATGCAAACAACTGTAAACCTACTTTTGCCCCACCCTGTAGAGCCACTCCTGCTTACCTTTTATTTGTGTTTACATGATATATCTTTTTTTTCCAATCCTTTAAACCAACCTTATATTGGAAGTGTGTATCTTACAGACAGCAAATAGTTGAGTCATGTTTTCAATACACTTTGTCAGTCTACCTGTTAACTGGTGTATTTACACTACTTACATTTAGTGTAGTTATTACTTTTTTTGTTTAAAATATTTTTATTGATTTCAGAGAGGAAGGGAGAGGGGGAGAGAGAGATAGAAATATCAATGACGAGAGAGAATCATTGATAAGCTGCCTCCTGCACGCCCCACACTGGGATCGAGCACACAACCTGGGCATGTGCCCTGACCAGGAATCGAACTGTGACTTCCTGGTTCATAAATCGACATTCAACCACTGAGCAACACCAGCTGGGCTACATTTAGTGTAATTTTGAATGTTCGGGCTTAAGTCTGCCATTTTATTTTATTTTTTCTGTTTGTTCTCTCCATTTCACATTTCTCTTTCCTGCCTTTTTCAGAATTTGATCTTATGTATAGTTTTTTAAAGAAATGTTTTGGTATAGCTTTTGTAGCTGTAGCTCTTGGTATTACATTATATATACATAACTTATCACAGTCTACTTATCATTTTGCTAGTTCAAGTACAGAAACCTTACCTCCCTTGGCATTCTTTTTTTTTCCCCCCTTGGCATTCTTAACTCTTCCCTGCTTATAATGTCATTGTCTTACATATGTTCTCTGATACATTTAAAACCATATCAGATAGTGTTATAATTTTTGCTTCAATCATCAAAAAATTTAGAAAACTTAAAAGAAGGAAAACCTATTATGTTTACCCATGTTTTTGCTTACCATGTTCTTCCTTCTTTCATAATTTCCTTTCTGTTTAAGAAACTTCCTTTGCTATTTTTTTAGCGTAAGTCTACTGGTGACAAATTCTCTTAGTTTTTCTTCATCTGAGAATGTCTTGATTACCCCTTCATTCCTGAAGGATATTTTCACTGGGTGTAGGATTCTGAGTTGAGAATTCTTTTCTTTCAGTACCTGAAAAATATTGTGCTACTTCCTTCAGGCCTCCATGGTTTCTGATGACAAATCCATTGTCATTCTAATTATTTTCCTCCTACAGTTAAGATCGTTTTTTTCTCTGGCTACGTTCTATAATCTTTGTCTTTAGGTTCAGAGGTTTAATTATGATGAATCTTTCAGTACATTTATAGCTTTGCCTTTTTTCTCCTCTGCTTCTCAGATTTCAATGACACAAATGCTAAACTTTTTGTTATAGTTCCTTAGTTCCCTAAGGTTCTGTTTTTTGTTTGTTTTTTAGTCTATTTTATTTCTGTTGTCCAGGTTGGGCAATTTCTATTGTTCTATCTTCCAATTCACTAATTCTTTCTTCTGTACCCTGCATTCTTTTATTGAGCCTATCTACTAAGCTATTTTGTTTCAGTTACTCTATTTTTCAGTTCTAAAATTTAATTTCTTCTTTATATTTTCTGGGTTTTTTTTCTGAGTCTTTATATTTCTTTGCTAAGCCTTTCTATTTATTCAGTTGCTTTTTTGTTTTTGTTTTTCGTCATTTGTTTTAAGCATGTTTGTAATTGCTCATTGAAGCATTTTTATCAAGGCTGCTTTAAAATCCTTGTCAAAATAAAATAATACAACAAGATAATAAAAAATAAAATCTTTGTCAGATAATTCTAACATCTCTGTCAGCTCAGCGTTGCCATCTATTGATCTTTTATTCACTTGGTTTGAGATATGAGGCTCTGGATCTTAGTTTAACCTTCTCTTTTAGCTGTTTCTTTGTTTTTACTCCATTCTGACAGGAGAAGGGGGTGCTGCTAACTTGTTACTACCTGGTGGAATCTACCTCCGCCAGTCTCCTCATTTAATCTGTTGATACTCAAGGGAAGACACCATGGGAGAGGCTCCCATGTCATCTCTGACACTGTGGTAGAACCGGCCTCATTACTGTTGGATGATGGTGACGGTCCTGACTGTCCCTGAGGTCTCCTCTGACCGTACTTCAGCAGGGAGGCATGGCGGTGCCGCGTTTCTGCCAGGTGGAAGCTCAGGCTCCCTGTGTGGTCGCCACTGGCACTGCAGGCAAAACACATTGCAGGCCACTGGGGATGAAAGTCCTAGCTCTCTACTTGACCTTTCTGATGCCACCCCAGAACTTTATTACAATCTAGGCGGGATGGGGTTCTAGGCTCTGCACTCAGCCTTTGCTGGCATGGATGGGGTTGGGGGCCATTTTTTAAATTTGGTGTTGACTAGAGTAGAGTGGTTATTATCTAAAAGTCTTATGCCTTGCCCTAGCCGGTTTGGCTCACTGGATAGAGCGTCGGCCTGTGGACTGAAGGGTTGCAGGTTCGATTCTGGCCAAGGGCACATGCCTGGGTTGCAGGCTTGATCCCCAGTAGGGGGCATGCAGGAGGCAGCCTATCAATGATTCTCTCTCATCATTGATGTTTCTATCCCTCTCCCTTCCTCTCTAAAATCAATAAAAATATATTTCAAAAAAATAAAAAATAAAAAATAAAAGTCTTATGCCTTGCTGGGCCACCCCTTTCCTGGTCCTTTGGCTAGAGAGAATAGGCTCTTGTTAGTCTTCTTTTGTCTGTACTGTTGTCATTTCCAGGTTGTTGGCTTCTTCAATTCCAAGCCTGGAATATATGAGGCAAAGGAAAATCCAAGGAACTCCCCATCATGTCTTTTCTTGGGTCACAAGTCCCTAGCTGGTCTGCCTTCTTATATTTGTTTTACATATAATGTCCAGGGTTTTTTGGTTGCACTTAGTGGGAGGAATAAGGAAAAGTATATCTACTCACTCTTCCCAGAAACAGAAGTTCTCTTGGCGATCTTTAACCAGTTTCTTCAGTGGGAGCTTGAACCATGTACCTATGTTCTAATTTACTGACTAAAGACCCACTCCAAACAACCCAACTGACTGGAGTCACAGCACGGCCACTGGGCTAAATTTGAGTATTGACAATTCCTGAAACCTAAATAAACTATTAACCCACATGCTCTAGCAACACATTATAAAATATTTTTTGTCAGGAAGGGTTTTCCTAAGAGTAGAAGGATGGCTTGATTCTAATAGGTTAAAGGAGAAAATCCATGTGATCATTCCACAAATGCAAACATATGCAATTGAATTGACTGAATTTAACATTCTTTCTGAAAAAGATTCTTAATAAAATAGAAATCAATGAATAAAATATAAATATCTCTAATCAAGTCAGCATCACACTTAGTAGATGCAGGTATGGAGGCAAAATAATAATAATAATTAATAATAATAATAATAATAATAATAATAATCCTGCCCATTAAATTTAGTCATCCATATCACTTCTATTATTTAACCTTGTTCGGGCAGTACTAGCCAATGATATAGTCACAAATAGGATATAAGTAACATTTTCTGGCAATTATACTTTTATTTCCATCATCTTCCATCATGTTGTGTTCCCTTGGAGTTAACATTAAGTATAGGATTGCTTAATTCATTCCCTATTCTCAACAGTTTTTTTGGCTATTTTTCCCTTTCCATGTTTCATAATCAACTGATAAAATTATGATCAGGGTCATCTCTTATATATTTTGTATTCTTAATGCTGTGAAAACAGTAGGTCTTTGGTGAATATTTTCATGTTAAAATCCAAAATGTGATATAAATATTTGACTTAACAACTTTTGAGATAAGATCAAAATAGCACATCCTAGAATACCCAATATTTTTGAATTGGAATTTGGTCAAATCATAATTGCTTTTATACCTAAGGCCTTCAGCTAAAAGTCCTTTGGATATTCTGAAACATTATCAAAACTTGATGAGACACACGCAATAAAAAGGAGGCTAGTGTAACCTGAAAAATTACATCAGTACTCAATTATGGTTTCGCTTTGTAACTGTCACTCTCATTTCTAACTCACCACACAACTGTCGAAAACATGGGAACAGAATATATGCTTGCTCTTTCACACCTATTGTTTCTAAAT